TTTCAACATTTCCTAATTTATTCATAACCCAAATATATTCAAGTAAATTTAATTGTATATTCGTGGTTTTTTGTTTTTTTTTTAATTTTTTGTTTCCCATCAGTTAAATAGCGAATTATAACAATATTTAAATTGCAAAATAAAGTACCAATATTTGTTTCAATTTAATTTCATCTCTTCCACATATTTTCCTCTTTAAAAACTGTTAAACTTTAAAATAAATTCAAGTGGTAATTAAAAATTCTGTCAAATTACCGAAATTAAATTTACATTCAAATAAAACTTCTACAATATCTATCAAACAAGATGATGAAATCCTGTTAGTAAAATTAAAGCAATGAAGAGGATATAAGCTAACAATGGTGAGAATATCACAAAGACATCTGAATAATCTATTTGTGGCTGTACAACGAATCACGTCAAGAGACAGTCATACCTTCATGATAACCCCCAGTGGAGCTTATCAAAGTTCCTCCTCTAATCTTAGGTATATATATATACGGGGCTACAGTATATTCATTCTCTTATCCGTCTCAATCAAATAACGATAAATAGATACCTTTCTTATAGCATATTTCCAGCTGAACAAAGGATGAATTCTTATATCTTAATTATCACGTAATTTATCAACAAACAGACAATCAACTATTATCAAAGGCAACGACAAGGAATTTGTTAATTAATCATACTGGTTATTTATTGTCTAACTCATTTATCATTTCTTATCAATTCACGGTGTACTTTATACTTTTGTTGTTGTTGTTGTTAATTAATTATGCAGGATCAATATTGCATCACCTATATCACTAGCAAATGAAGTCAAACAAATTAGCTTTTTCAATAGATCCTATTTATAAGACTGCTAATAAATGTCAAATGTATAAATGATTAAATGTTTTCCCAATTCTAATCATAATTCAAATAAAATTAAGTAAATCTAATTTATGCTTGCTACTCTTACAAATTGTTGTTTGCTCTTATGTACAGATTCGATTTTATGAAATTCACCTGTCTGAGTAATATAATGAATTTCCATCTACAGAATTTAACGTAAATTTACGTGAAAATTCAAAAAAAAACACGCAAGGATTAAAATTCTTTCATTAAAATGAAATATTACATATCAAGCGTTATTTTTATGCTAATATTTCTTTTTTGAATTGATTAGATAACAAGATAATGTAGCTATTTTCTTTTCTTTTGTAAGACAAATAATACCTTTTTGTAAAATCTTCACCTTTTGACCTTCGGGACATGATGCGGGTATACAAATTGATGCACGGCATCGACATCTGCAATATTATCGTTGTAGTTTAAAAATTTCAATTTTAAGAAAATATGAATAATTTTATTTTTTGGAAACTTTTCCATTTTATTTGAAAAATTTGGAAAAATCCTTTGGTGAAATTGAAATATCAATTAATAAAATATCAACTGATTAGTAGATGATATTTCAGCTACCAAATAATGATACTTTTTGCTTATAAACTATTTTTTTTCTGTTATAATTTTTCTTTAAATTATTTAATTAAATGCATTTTATTGTATATTTCATTTTCTTCAGCACCATTCTATCGGATTTTTTTCATACTAATTATTTATGTCTGATAAATTTTACCGATGATATAAACAAATAAATAAACAAACAAGTTACTAAGAAACTTTACTCAGGACTAATTGGACAACAAGTTCCAGCTGGTACATAGCTAGCAGTTCGAATGCTATCATCAGGACATTCCTCTTCGTTGTAATCCAAAAAACGATGATCACAATGTACATTCTCGCATCGTAATTCTAGTTTAAAAAAAAAAGAATGAAATATATGAATTAATTTTTTAATGTAAAATTTTGATTTTCATTTCTTGATTTATTAATTTGATAAATTTTCATTTAATAATCGATTTATTTAATAAATTATTAAAGTTCAATATTATAAAATTACAACAAACCTGGCTGTTTGCATTCAAAGATATCACAACAATGACCTGGTTCATTGATACCTTTTTTTATAAGGACTCGTTCAAGACCCTTTTCACATACAGGTACCAATGGATAACATTTCTGAAACAAAACAACAACTATTAAAACAGTATCATTCTTCAAGCCAAAATTAAATTTCAATTTTTCAAAAAAAAAAAATTACCAAATTTAACGAAAATAGAGTCTTACCAATTGTATTACTAATTTAATTCAAATATATGCAAATTAATACGATTTCATTGAATACAACTTATTTGTACTAATTATTTATTCCTTCTTCACAGTATTCATTTGTTGATTTGAATAATTAAATAGCAATTAATTTTCACAGATCTTTTTGTAATGATATTTCGTAAATAATTTATGTTAATAACAAAAGAATATATACTAATATTAAAATTTGATACTTTAAAAATTCTTTATTCTTTTATTTATTTACTAATTAATCTGCTAATATAGAAAGTTATTCATTTTATTTTTTTTAAAAAATTATTGATTAGTACTTTCCTATTTTTCTTTTTTTATTTGATTTAAAAAAAAAAAAGATTAACCTGTATATCACAATGACATTCTCCTGGTGGTGCGCAACATTCTCCGGGTGGCGGTGGTGGTATTACTAACCGAGAATCTTCCGGGCATTTATGCAAATATACCATATCACATTTTGCTTTCAAGCAGTTCTCCGGCCACATTTCTATAATAAAATAACAATTCAAAATTTCGGTAAATAAACTATTACTGAATCAGAAGAGGGTATTATTAATTAAATTGCAAAATATTCGTAGTATAAAATGAATTCAAATGACACTGTTGCATATTTATGTGCTAATATGAAAAAAAAGCAAAAAAAAAAAAGAAAAAATAGGATATGAGGAAGTAAAGAATTTAAAAAAATTTAATTTAGTACAAATAAATATTGCATAAAATGCAAAATAATTTACTAATTAAAATACCATTTCAAAAGTAAAACATTTGCAAATAAGTAATACATTACATCAGTAAATAAGTATTTTAGTTCATAGTAATGATGAAAAAAAAATAGTCACTGAGTATTCATAACAATCGTATTTTAACTTTTATTTTACTAAATAAACAATTTAAATTATAGCTTAACTTTTAATCAAATTATACATTGAGAAAATCTGATAAGCTAGATGATAATATAATATAATTTTACATGAAATTTAAGCATATGACAATAATCGGGTAATATCAATTAACTAATAATTTCGATAATTCGATAATTAATAAACTGCTCGATTTAATCTTTTCCCTAATTAAACACTGTTATTAAGTGATTTAGATTGCACTGATTTTCCAGTTATCTTACCATTATTTCATATCTCTTTCTGATATCTTAAAAAAAAAAACTTTTTTTTCAAATGAAAAATTATAAATCATTATTTTGAAATGCTTCCCCAATAAATTATACTTCCTTTAGTTTCAACTGTTTAATCATTTTATAAGCTAATAAAATGGATCAATAAAATTACAAATAAAAAAAGTAAAAAAATTTGCTTTGAATTTTATATTCCTTTATTTGTATCCCTTAACCATTGATGATTATTATTTATCATTGATTACTAAAGTCTACCTGATAATACATTTTCTTTTTATTCCTTCTAAGACTTTGAAAAAGAAAAAAAAATTTTTTTACAAAATTTTATAAAATTAATTTGATAAATAAATAAAATATATTTTTTCGAAAAATTTTTCAAAAAAGGATATATAACAAAAAATTGAAAAATTTTGAAATATTTCAATAAAGGTAAATCATTGTATTGAAGCCGATTCATCATCATGAATAAATCTTTTCTATTCGATTTTATTTTTACCTTTTTTTTTTTTTTAAACTTGAGGAAAAAGAGATTGTAATTTGATGAGAAGAAAAAGCGAACATGAACGAACTCAAATTTTATGTGTTTATTTATTTTTTCAAACAATTTATACTTCCTTCAAATCTTTTTTAATTTTTATTATTTCTCTTTTCACTCCATTAAATGATACCAATAAATTTCCAAATCATTTGGATGATAAAATTAATGACTTTTTATGTTTAATTGGAAAAATTTTTCAATCTTTTTCCTTTTTTTTTGAAATTTTAAATTGTAAAGCAAAAACGTTACATTATAAAATGGATGTATGCAAGAAAAATGAACATTTTTACATATTAAAATTGAGAAAAATACCATTGGAAATTGAAATTGATAATTGAAAATTTGTTTAAATTGGATTATTAAGTGTAGAAGAGAAATAAGAAAAAAGGGAAAAAATAGGAATTATAATTTGTATAAAAAAACAGACATGAAAGAAAATATATATTAAAATAAAAAATTTATAATTTTATTAAAAAAATCAGACCGATAAATACTATATCTAAAAATGAATAAAATAAGAACAGAAAAAGGAGAGGCAAAAAGGGGGGAGAGAGAGACAGGGAGAGAGAAGAGAGAGGGAGAAAGAAAATAAATTTAAAAAATGAAAATGCTCAGTGAATATTTACATACAAAAATGGTTGAAATCAAAATTATTATCATCGAATCGAAAAATTTAAGCAATAATAAACATACATACACAAACATACACACATACACGCATGCACATGCATACACACTCACATACACAAATATTCACATAAACATATATTCACATATATATACTCACATACACACATACATATACATACGCATTTACATACACAGACTCACATGCGTTCTACCCACATACACACATGCACATGCACACATTCGCATTCACACACACACACATACACACTCACATACACATATATTCATGTATCCATGCTTACGTCACACTCACATACACAAACATACATACACATACACTCACAAACATATACTCACGTACACACATACATGTACATACGCGCTCACATACACAGACTCACGTGCATTACCCACATACACACAGGCACATGCATACACCCGCATTCACACATACATACACACATACACTCACATACACATATTCACATGCATCATTCATGTACACAACTCACATGCACATATGCAGACACAAACATGTGGTTACCAACTAGCTCGATTATCAAACTATCAAAACTGATTAATGAATGCAAATAAGCATATCAGTGATTAACAAAATATTTTGTTTTCAATGATATCAACCATTCCAATCATTTCAACTTAATTAGCAATCAAATTAAATTGTTACTAACAACTTAAATCACATATATTAATTAATTTTAATTAATTATCGCTGAAAATATTTACCATAATTATGTAAAATTCTTGAAGCGTTTATAAAATTTATAAAATAATGTTATTACGAAATTTACTAATATATACTTAACTTTAACTTTATAACTTTATATTAATAAATACTTAAAATATTTGAACTTAATTTAATATTTAATTTACAATCATTTTTGCATTTTTCTTTTTTTTCTAACAAATAATTCCATTGCAAAACTATGAAATAATCATTTTTGAATTATCATTTCTCAAGAAATTTCTTAATTATCATTTTTATTATTTCTTAAAAAGATTTTTTAATTATCATTTCTCAGCAAATTTCTTAATTATCATTTTTACTATTTCCCAAAAAAAATTTCTTAATTGTCATTTCTCAACAAATTATCATTTCCTGTTATTGTGCTTGTGAAAATGATTAATTCAAAGAGATTAAATTATTTAATTAGAAGCATTTTAAGTAAGAAACATTGCTTGAGTTCTATTTCGAATTTAATATTTCAAATGCTCACCAATTATTTGTGAGAAATGATATGAAAGTTCAAAGATTCCGATTAGTGAATACTTTTTAGGTTATCATATCATATATAAAATGTAAAACTATTTTGCTAAATTTAAATAATAGCTAAACTATCGTTACGATAAGCCAGGTTAATTAATTCGGGTCAAATGGACATTGTACCTTAATGCTTATTATAAATCAATTTGAATCATTCCAATTTATATTCCAAATATGCAATTATGATGTATCAAATCCCGCACTGTTATGAGGTATAAAGATTAATCTAATCAATAAAGGTAAACAAGTATACAAACGAATAGAATAGACAAATCAATAAATGCATCAAATATAATTTCAAATAGGAAACGGAAAAGAATAATTCATTTGAAGAATTGTAATTATTTCAATAATTTTCAAAATAGCAATTTATTTGCTTATTATTTAATTACCAAAATGTGACAAAATTTCCAAAATTTCATACCGTATGATTAGATAAATTTAATACTATCAATATATCATTTGGTCTTATGAATGGAAATTAAATTAAATTTAATTTAAAATCGAATAAGATGATAGCATGAAGATGCTATATTACGATATGTCACATCAAATAAATGATATAACATTTGTAGTTTCGTTTATTTCTCTTTAAAATTTAAATTAAAAACAATTTGATAATGCCTTATGTTAGTATATTTTTCATTATTGCAAAAACTATTTTTCATTTTATCATAGAAGAAGAAAAATTAAATGAACGAATGACATGAATAGTGTCACATTTTATCCATCAAAAAAAGAAAAAGAAATGAAGGAAATTATATTTTGTTATTCTTATTGTTGATATTATTACCAATATTATTATCATTATGATTATTTCTTATCATTAGCACTATCACTTGTTAATTATTTATTGTAATTATATTACTATCATTGTCAATTTGATTATTATTAATGACCAAATTATCCTATATTACTTTAACATCAAATATAAACGATGTTTAAAAAGTACAAAAAAAAGAAAACCTTGTAAGCCTAAGCAAAAATATGCATACATTTTAATCTATTTACAAAAAAAAAAAAACTTAGATGACATTATTCCCGCATATTATCCCACTAGAAAAAAAATCAAATATCAAGATAGTCATCCCCTCCCCTCCTCCCCCCCCCAAAAAAAAAGATTAAATTACCGGTAATTAATATGACGCATCTAATTACTATCAAAGGTTGAAGAATAGTTTTAATAGTAATTTCTATTATCAATCTCTCAGCATGTTTTATTTTAACTTTCAACTTTCACTTGATATTTATTATCTACTTTAATTATTGTCACATCAAATGACAGATACTAAATGCTACTATTATTTCTTCTTATTTAACTCAGTACTTAAATCATTGTTGACATAATATACGATAGAATCTTTTTTTTTTCCCCTTTCCTCTCTCTCTCTCTCTTTTTCGAAATTAAATCTCTTAGTATCAAATTACCAGTAGCTAATTTTTAAGAATCCTATAGCTATCAAATGTTAGTTTTAGTTATTTGCATTAGCGATATTGTCGTCTACTTTTTCAATTCTTGAAAAAAAAAGAAAAAGAAACAAAAAAAAAACTGGATGATTATATTGACATAATTTGTCACCTTTTTTAACATAAATTGTTACATAATCTTGAAATTTTTATTGTCATTTTGATAAAATAATTGAAGTTAGTAACAAAAAAAAAAAAATTAAGAAAATTACGGGAAGAAAAAAAAGCTGTGATAATATTTTATAAATATATTGATAAAGATTAAATTAAGTATAACTTGAACAAACAACTTTTTTAACATTGGAAAAAAAAACATTAAGGTAATTTTGTCTCTGAATTATTACTTAATTAAAGCTAAGATCAAAAATTAATTAATATTAAAATGAGAGAAAAAAATAATGAAGAAATAATTTGAGCATTCATCAAACCCTTCCTTCTTTTGCTATAAAAATTTGATTATTTCAATTCTTATCATAAATTTATAAATGCATAAAATAACATAGTTAATCAGTAATACAATTTCGAAAAAATTTTTTTATCAAAAAAAATTTGAAATTGAAAAAACTTTCTATTTTTAAATAGAAAATTTAAAATTCAAAAAAAAAGAAATCATTCTATTGTTGGGTAAAATGGTAAAAATATATACGTAGCAGAATATTGATGACGAATTTGAATTGTCATCAATATTTTCATTTCCTTAACATTTGTATTGCTTCCTCATTCTGTACTATAAATATCATTTTTAGTTGACTGAAATTTCACTCTTGTTTTTTCTTAATGTTTTGCTCTTATCAATTAAATGTAATTCAAGTAATTTCAATGATAAAATGATTAAGTTGAAAAAAAAAATTAATCGTTTAAAGCCTCCATTAATTATTTCGATACTTCATTTATGATTGAAAAATTTTAGAAAAGAAAACTTTTTTTATACTTAAAAAAAAATCACATCACATACGTTTTAACAATCTTTGTAGATGTTTACGTAAGTCCGTGATAAAATTCACTTAATTAAGAGTAATTATCACTTCGATTAATTTTGATTATCGATTCAATTTACTCAAATAATTTCTGTCCCTATTATCTTTCCTATCTCCCTGAACCATATTTTATCACATTATTCATTTACGGTCGCAAAAAAAAAAAAAATTTAATTTTATGAGTTAAATTATTGATTGAAAATTGAAAAAGAAGAATGAAATTCTTTTGCTGATTCATAAATAATTACATCGGAAGGTGAGTTATTATGGGATAAGTGAGTAAAATTCAACGGTCCAGTAAATACAAAAAAAAATAGTAGTGATAATGATAATAATAATAATAATAATAATAATAATAATAATAATAATAATAATAATAATAATAATAATAATAATAATAATAATAATAATAATAATAATAATAATAATAATAATAATAATAATAATAATAATAATAATAATAATAATAATAATAATAATAATAATAATAATAATAATAATAA